GTGTGTGTGTGTGTATACATGATCTTACTTAAATATCTCCAGTTTACAGTATGAATTCTGCAATCCAGCAGCAAGCTGCTTTACTCCTGTGTCCTGCAGGTTATTGCAATTCAGACTGAGCTCTTTCAAGCTCAGTAATTTTGTTTTAAGCGCTACAGCCATAACAGAACAACTTTTGTCTGTCAGTTTACAGTTTGCAAGCCTATGGGGGAAACAAATGATATACTGATGAGCACTTTATCATATGATAAATGATACTAACAATAAAATGACAAATAGTGTAAACATACAAAATAAATAAATCACAATTAACCTCCCACTCCATTTCAGCTCCATTACAAATGACTGCTTGTGAGGGTGTCCCTGTCTCATGTTCAGGAGTTGCAACCTTGCATATACTTACCTCAGTACCTCCAGTTTACAATGTGGACTCTCTAGACCGGAAAAGAAGTCCATCGCTCCTTCATCCTTAAGTCCATTTCCATTTAAGTTCAGCTCCCTAAGACAGGAGTTATTTGAACTGACAGCTGAGGCTAAAGCTTTACAACACTTCTCTGACAGTATACAGTAATGAAGACTGTACAAGAAAAAAGATGATGAAATTACAGTAAATGGGATTAAAGTAAATCTTCAGATGCAGTGTAGAGTTTGTTCTAACCTGCATTAGACTAAGCATAAACATTAGACTTTGCATTTTCAAGAAAAAAGTAGTTTGGTTTGTGGACTATAAACTACTTTCACGAGTTTGACATTTCAGTTTTATTTGGACTACTGGTAATTTAGACTATCTGGCAAAACATGAACCAAGTTTCACTCTTACAAGGAGTAGGACAGGTAAATCATACATACAAGAATTGCAACAAATACGCACCAGGAGAAGTTTCTAACGTTTTGCTCTATAGAATAAAAAAAAATATTTAAACTAACAGATTGCTATCTAAAATTTCAAAACAGACTTTCAAAACAGAGGGTTTGTTGAATTAATGTGTTTTAACAAATAAGTGATTAACCTTCACCAGTGATTAATTTTTGTTGTCCATGCTGGTGAAGGAACATGCAATTTTCTACTCTTGTTATTGACTAGAAAGATTGTTGTCATATTAAAACAATCAGAAGTGGTACTTACTGGGCTGTTTTAGAAGCTTCAATCACAGGCAGCAGCCTCACAAGAACTTCATCAATGTCACTGCACATTCTGGCATATTTGCTCATGTGAAACACATCCAGCTCTTCTGAGGTCAGCAACACAAAGGCAACAGCTGACCACTGAGAGAGTGAAAGTCGTGTTCCTCTTATTGTTCCAGAATTAAGAAAATGCTGAACTTCCTTGATAAGAGAATGGTCACCCAGTTCATTCAGACAGTGGAACAGGTTGATGGACCTCTCTGGAGAGGGATTCTCCATTATCTTGTGTTTGATGTACTTAATGGTTTTTCCTGTGCAACCGGAGCTACTTCCTGGTTGTTTAAGAAGGCCTTTTAAGAGAGTCTGATTGGACTCCAATGAGAGGCCCAGAAAGAAACGAAGGAATACATCCAGATGCCCATTTGCACTGGCCAGGGCTTTATCAACAGCAATTTTAAGCAGGTCAGATAGAAACATTCCTGGATTTGATAACATAGATGGTGTGGTATATTGATCTGGTGTGATATTGAACACATTTATCTTATTGTTGATAAAGGAGAGGTACACATACAGGGCTGCAAGATGTTCCTGCATAGTCAGATGAACAAAACAGTAGACTCTTCTCTGACACAGTACAAACTCCTCTCTAAAGATCTGAGTGCACAATCCTGAGTACACTGATGCTTCTGTCACATCAATGCCACACTCTCTCAGATCTTCTTCATAAAAGATCAGATTTCCTTCCATAAGCTGCTGAAAAGCCAGTTTGCTCAGTTTGTAGATCATGTCTTCATCATTCACTTTCTTGTCATAGTCTTTCTCATTGTTGATTTTGGTCTGAAGGACCAGGAAGTGTGTGTACATTTGAGTGAGAGTCTTGGGAATTTCTCCACTCTCTGCTTCACTAGAACAGCGGCTGAGATCCAGCAGAACACTGGGATGTGGCACATGATGAAGAGGCTCCTTGATGACTTCAGGTGTGAGATGATTCTCTCAGCCAGACTCTCATCAGTGATTCTCTTCCTGAAGTATTCTTCCTTCTGAGGGTCATTAAAGCCTTGTACCTCTGTCACTCGATGGACACACTCAGAGGGAATGAGATCAGCTGCTGCTGGTCTGGAGGTGATCCAGATGAGAGCAGAGGGAAGCAGATTCCCCACAATGAGGTTTGTCAGCAGTACGTCTACTGAAGCAGATTCAGTCACATCACACAACCTCACACTGTTCTGAAAATCCAGAGACAGACGACACTCATCCAAACCATCCAAAATAATGTAAACTTTATATTGATCACTGTTTATTTCCAATTCCTTTGTTCCAATGAAAAATGTATTAAAAAGTCCCAGGAGACTGAGACTTTGATTCTTCATAAAATTGAGCTCTCTGAAAGGAAGTGGTAATATGAGGTGGGCGTCTTGATTTGCTTTCCCTTCAGCCCAGTCCAGAATGAACTTCTGCACAGAGACTGTTTTTCCAATGCCAGCTACTCCTTTAGTCAGAACAGTTCTGATGGGTTTGTCTTGTCCAGGTAAGGGTTTGAAGATGTCATTCAGATTGACTGGTGTATCTTCTGTTCTTGCTCTCCTAAATATTTCAATTTGTCTGATCTCATGTTCATTATTGACTTCTCCACCTCCATCCTCTGTGATGTAGACTTTTGTGTAGATGTCATTGAGGACTGTCAAAGTTCCCTGATTTGCTGTTCCTTCATGCAAACACTGAAATTTTTCTTTCATGTTTGATCTGAATTTCTCAAAAACAGCTGAACCATCATGTTCAGATTCAAAGCTGATGAAACAACAATAATAATTAGTTAATAATTAGTTATATTATTTTCATTCATTTTGTTATTCAGTATGCATTGTCACAAGCGTGGAGCTGGTGGAAGTTGTTAAAGGGGTCATATGATGCGATTTCAATTTTTCCTTTC